GATGAGTACAACAGAATTTCTGCCTGTGAATCAGCCAAAGAGATATGGGACTGTCTCCAAACAGCCCATGAGGGAACACAACGAGTAAAAGAGTCTAAGGTCGATATGCTTACGACTCAATACGAGAATTTTTGTATGAAGGAAGGTGAAACTATCTTTGAAATGAACTCAAGATTCACTTCCATCACCAACGAACTAAGATGCTTAGGTGAGCCCATTCCCTTAAGCAAACAAGTTCGCAAGATTCTCAAGGTTCTTCCCAAGTCATGGGAAAGCAAAGTTGATGCTATAACAGAGGCAAAAGATTTGAAGACACTTTCCATGGATGAGCTGATTGGAAATCTTCAGACCTACGAGCTGAACAAAAAGCAGGGGACAAACATGAAGGAGGAGGATGAAATGGCCTATGTTACTAAAAGGTTTCAGAAAATCATCAAGAAACATGACGTCTTTCAAAAGAAGGCTTCGACCAGCAGAGCAGCAAACGCAAATGACCTTTGTCATAAATTTGGCAAACCTGGTCATTTTATGAGGGACTGTCCCAGCCAGAAGCAAGAAACTCAGAACTTCAAACCTCGTAAGAGGGACCTGGTCCCAGACAGTGCTCGGAGAAAGGTTCATGCTGATCAATTGGTGAGAAAAGCCTTTGCTGTATGGGGAAATGATTCAAGTGAGTCAGAAGAAGATGCAGAAAGTTATGAAGATTTTTCAATGATGGCTATTAAAGATGATGAAAATGTTTTCAATTCCATCTTCTCATTAATGGCAAATTATGATGATGAAGAGGATTCAGATGAGGTAACTCTTTTTGATCTTAAAGATGATCTAGATAATCTGCCTATTGAAAATTTGAGGAAACTTGCTGCTCTGCTTATTGATTGTGTTGATGAACGAACCACTGAAAACTTAATGTTGAATAAAAATTAAGTTTGTGTGAAGATAAGAATTCTGCTCTTATGTCTCAAGTTGCTGAAATTAGTGAAAGGATAGGTATTCTAGAGACTTGTAACATAACATCTGAGAAGGGCCCTGAAAACTCAGTAGGTGGGAAGAGAAAGCTTAGCATTTTTGAGGAAGAACTGGAAGAAAAGCTAAAAAATTCTGAGTCTAAGCTAGTCGCTTCTCTTGAAACAAACTCTCAACTGAGAAAGGATCTGAGTAAGGTCAAGGAGGAGTTAAGCCACTCTCTAAAATGGACTGACTCTTCTAAGATACTCTCTAATCTGTCTAATCAGAGTTTCAATGGAAGAAAGGGTTGGGACGTAGACCAATAGAACCTCCTTTATAATCCTCATAGCAAATATGTGTCTGTATCTGACAATCTGTTATGCACTCACTGTGGGCGTAATGGTCATCTAAAAGAAAAGTGTGAGACCTTGAGAAAAGCAAAAGAAAAACATGAGAAATTTGTCAGATCTGAAAACAATGATAAAAGGGAACTCAAGGGACCTGGTCCCCATTATCGGTTCAGTAAGAACACTTTGCCCCCCTGGACAGGAAGGTTTCTTATTAAGCCTTTTGATAGTTATTGGGAACTCCGTCTGAAGTGGGTTCCCAAGTCTAATAAGTGATTCTTGTGCAGAAGAGAGGGAGCAGTCAATGCTGGTACATGAATAGTGGATGCTCAAGGCATATGACTGGAAATACTCTTAACTTCCTCTATTTGGAAGCACACCAAGGTGGTGGTGTGTCATTTGGCAGCGGAAAGAAATTTTTTTCTCTTGGTATTGGCAAAATAGAAAGAACTGTAGATCATTCCATAGAAAATGTACACTATGTGGATGGTCTGAAGTTTAATCTCGTAAGTGTATTTCATATTTGCAACAAGGGAAATGAAGTCAAGCTCATGTCTGAAGGAAAACAACTTGTCATGTCTGAGTGCTCAAACTGATGATGCAAATCTTTGGCATAGACGACTGGGTCATGTAACTACCTCTTTACTTAACATGCTTGTTGCAGGGGACCTGGTCCGCAGACTACCAAAGCTGAAGTTCTCAAATGATAAAGTCTGTGACACCTGTGCAAAAGGCAAACAAATAGATCTTCTTTCAAGGCAAAGAAGGGTGTGAGCACTACCAGACCTTTGAAACTTCTCCACATGGATCAGTGTGGACCTGTCAAAATTCAAAACAGATGAGGTAAAACATATTTCTTGTGATTATTAATGATCTCTCCAGGTACACCTGGAATATGTTTCTGCGAAAAAGAATGAAACTGCTAGAATTTTGATTGCTTCTGCCAAAGCAATTCAACTGAAGGTCAACTGCAAGATTGCTAGTATTTGATCTGACCATGGGACAGAGTTTGAGAACTCTCAAATTGAAAGTTCTTGTGCTGGAAATGGAATCAATCATAATTTTTTTTGCACCAAGATCTTCTCAACAGAACGGAGTGGTTGAGAGAAAGAACAGAACTCTGGTTGATATTGCAAAGACTATGTCGATTGACTCAGGGCTGGCTATGAACTTCTAGGCAGAAGCAACACAACATACTTTGTTACTAATAGATCAGGTTTATGATAAAGAAGACACCGTATGATTTGTTGAACGACAGAAAGCCTTCAATTGCCCATCTTAAGCTATTTTGGTGCAAATGCTTTGTACTAAATAATGGAAAGGATGACCTGGTAAGTTTGATGCCAAGAATGATGAAGGTGTGTTTGTAGAATACCCTTCTACCAGCAAGGCCTACAGAGTGTCTAACAAAAGAACTCTATGTGTCGAATAGAGCATTTATGTGACATTCGATGAATCTGAGAAAAATTGATGATCAAAGGGAGGCCATGAGATGGAAGACTGATCTAGGAAAGGGAAGACAAAGATATCCAAAACTCTGGAAACAAACAGGTTGTAAAGGAAATTGCTGCAGATCTCACAGGAGCACCTGGTCCCTCTGATACTACCCAGAAGGTTCCATCTCAAAATCATGAAGCTGATGATCCTGAATCTGGTGCTGAAATCAAAGAAGAGTTGATCAGAAAGTCCAGATGGAAACATCAATCCTCACATCCGTTGGACAATCTCATCTCTCCACTTGACTCTGGAATTCAAACTAGATCCAGGACAAGAAATCTAGTTGTATATTCAGCCTTTATGTCATCCATTGAACCAATGAACATCAAAGAAGCTCTACAAGATGCAGATTGGGCAATATCATTGCAAGAAGAACTCTATCAGTTTGAGAGGAGCAAAGTGTGGCACCTGGTCCCCCGACCTATCAACAGAACAGTTTTTGGAACAAGATGGATCTTCAAAATTCTGATAGCATATGCTGCTCATATGGAATTCAAGCTCTTTCAAATGGATGTCAAGAGTGCCTCTTTGAATGAGAATCTAAAGGAAGAAGTGCATGTCAAACAGCCCCCAGGCTTTGAAGATACAAAACTGCCAAATCATGTGTTGAAGTTAGACAAGGCTCTGTATGGGTTGAAACAAGCTCCCAGAGCTTGGTATGAACGCCTATCAATAATTCTTCTTGCAAATGGGTTCAAAAGAGGAATTTGCTGATCTGATGAGCAGTGAGTTTGAAATGAGCATGACGGAAAAAAAAACTCACTTTCTTCCTAGGCCTGCAAATCAAATAGTCTGTTCAGGGTACCTCTATATGTCAAGAGAAATACATCAAGGAACTGCTTTGAAAGTTCAATCTGATTGAGGCAAAAGTTCTTGACACTCCCTTGAGCACAAGTGTAAAGCTTGACTTAGATGAAGATAGAGTTGAGGTAAATCAGACTATGTATAGGGGAATTATTGGGTCACTCTTGTACTTCACAGCAAGCAGGCCAGCCATAGTGTTCTGTGTAGGAATGTGTGCAAGATTTCAAGCAGCACCAAAGGAGTTTCACCTGAAGGCAGCCAACCGTATCCTGAGATACTTGAAGGGAACTCAGGACCTGATCGAAAGAGTACATCAGGCATGACACATTTTCTTGGATCATCACTGATTTCCTGAGGGACAATGTTGAGAAGCAAAATGTGGTGATGAAGTTCTGTAAGACTGAGGACCATCTGACTGATATCTTTACAAAGTCATTGAGTAAAGAATGTTTCATTAAAAGCAAGATGAGGCTGGGGATGCACAAGATTACTTGATTCCGTGACAAGTTTGCACAAAAATCTTCTATTTTGATTATGTTACGGAGGGCAGGTATCTATACTTGTTTTAATGCTTTTCACTTAAGAATTCACTTCTGGTACCTTAATGTAGGTATACACTCATGGTATGTCTAGCTGAAGGGAAGATTAAATCATACTGACAGGGTTGCAAACTGAAAAGGGGACCTGGTCCTCCTGAGGTTAGTATCACTTACGCTACACTGTCTGTATGTCAACATTACTACCACGTGTCCCTCGCCCATTCATCGCGTCATTTTCAGACATCTTTTTGCTTATAAACCAAAGGTCGCTACTGGTTGGGGATCCGATGTCTTTTTGGTTTTATATACTACTTCTCTTAGTGAATCAAATTACAAAATCTCTTCAAATAATTCTTGTTGAAATTCACAAATCCCATTTCCAAAGCTTTTCTCTCTTTCTCAAAATGCCTAACTCCAATTCTTCTTCAAATATCCCTATCTCCCAAGAAGTTGAAAATCCTAGTTCATTCAACTTCTCCTTTTCTACTCCAGAAGGCTGCAAAGAAATCTCCTGTGAAAAGGGAGAAAGTTAGAAAACAGGTGGCTGAAAATTAAAACACATAAAGGGACCAGGTTCTAGGGTGCAAAATCAAAGTGAAGAAAAGAAAATGACAAGGGAGGAGCGGATAACGGCAATGGAGAACCAAAAGGTTTTGAATGGCAGAGTCTTTGACCCTGACATTCTAACCAAATTTGGAATATCAAATCTTTTTGATGCACTTGCCACAAAAAATGGAGATGTCAAGAATGCAGGGCTATCGAAAAGGTTTCTCAAAGGGAAATATCAATTGTTTTTTGAGTTCATCAAAAAGGTGGCATCTGCTGCTGATCTGTTTCTCATGGAGAAGCTTGATGAACTTGAAGAGATCAACCTCTCTGCCATTATGCTGGAATGTCAGTGTGTTGAAGGAAAAGCTAGGGGCAGATCTCAAGTGACAGATGTTCTAGAGCAGCAGGCTGCTCTTAAACGGGAAGTGACTGATCTTACTGAGATTCTGAATAACAAAGAGATTGAAATCGCTTCATTGAGGTCTGAATTAGAGGAGGTAGTTTCGAGAGGACCTGGTACCAGCGATGCAAAAGTTGAGGAATGAAAATGAAAGGCTGCTGAAGACAACTGCATCACCCAGTGAGTAAGTTAAGGCTCTCAACAGGCAGCTTATCAAGGTTCATGAGGATGCAAATAAGCCTTTGTCTCTGTTTAGGCGCATCCTCACTCCCCTTCCCCTTCCATCCTAAAAGTGTCTTGTTTCCTTAGTTTCCCTTTTTGTTCTTCAATCCTGATTAAAACTCTTGTGGCTTTGTGTATGTTTTGCTTGACTACAGTGGTCCGTATTTGTGATCTAATGCTATTTATGTTTCTCCCCTGTTCATGTGTGGCTTAATATTCTCTTTATGCTTACTATACACATGTTCTGTGTGGCCCAAGGCCCTGAATTCTTTATTGCCTTGCATTTAACTTGAATATGTTTACTGCTTCACCTTTTCAATGATGTCAAAAGGGGGAAGTTTTGTTGTAAAGTTGGTTGTGGAATAGGGGCACTGAACTAAGAACTAAAGGGGAACTGTGGTTGTTAGGGGCATTGAACTAAGGGGGAACGAACTGTGGTTGTTACTGGTGCACTAACAAAGGGGGAATTTGTTATGTAAAGGAATAAATGTTTGTTCCCTCACATGAGGAGTTATACAGGTTGTTTGTCATCATCAAAAATGGGGAAAATGATAAGTGCTAATAATGCTCCTAGATGTTTTGATGATCTCCTCACAAGTGCAGGGACCTGATCCTCTGCAGAGTATCCTCGTCCAGTGTCAATATGTTGTACAGCTGTAAAAGTTGGTGACGCTTCAGAGTACTTCACCAA